AGCAATGTCTTTAACTCCTGTCAGGATATAGTTTTATACTGTTCTTCCCTTGTCCCATTTGCCCCTGTATTTATTGCACATATTTCTGGCTTTTTGCTTATTTGTTCAAGGTAACATTCCCTGAATATGGTTGAACTGGCTAAGAAGGGAAGGGAAGGGAGGGACAAGATAACTGGGCTATGTTTTCTGTTTCCAATTGTGGAATTCGGAAAAGGACTTTGCGAGTACAAATCTAAGGGAACTTAGGGCTTTGCACTCCAGAAGAAAGGCGCTGCCCTTAATCCATGCGTTTGTCAAGGAGAAAAGAGAAAATGAAAGGAAGACCCACATGGATTTTAAAAATTTCCGTAAACAGAGCATTTCCCCCACTGTCTGTCGGCTTGTGGTTGTTAGATGGTTTTCTTTTAGTTACTGATAAAAATTATGTCTTAAATACTACTATCGACAGTCTTTATACTGTATCCTTGTGTGTGTGTGTGTGTGTGTGTGTGTGTGTGTGTGTGTGATCCAAAGCAGTGCAATGTTGACAGTTCTTCTACTTTTTTTCTGACTATCAGAACATATGATTGCATCGAGCTGGCTGCAGGCTCCACTGCTGACATTTTCTAATGCAAAGAATGCCCACATCACTGGAGCATTTCAAACGTGTTAATGAGCAGATCAAAAGGACTGTTTGAAGCAGCTAACATTCTTTCTCTTCTCTTCTTTTCTTTTTCTTTTTTTTAATTTTTAAGAAATCGGCTCTCCTCCAAACTGAAATCTTGGTTGTAGCAGCTAAGCCGATGAGATGTAATTTTCCCTCCCACCCCGATGATGATAATAACAAACGGAAAAAAAAAATTGGAGAAGACTCAAACTCTCCATATGGTCCATAAAGTGGTGAAAGTGTTTTCCAGAATTTTCAATACAGAGCTGAAGGAGGCTAAGTGGAAAAAGTCCTGGCAACTAGGCAATATTATGCCTTTGAAAACCTGCAAATTCTCATGAAATATGGTGTACATGAATACACCCTTCTCTGGAGTGAATGTGCTCTTTCACTATTTAACGTAAGAAAAAGATTCTCGTGACCGTTATTTTTAATGCACGTGGACAACACTAAGTTCCCTTCTCCCCGCAAACTAATTTTACTGGTATGCAGGCATGCATACATGCTGCTTCCAGATAGACTCCCACCTTTTTCTGATTTTAGGCACAGGTAGAATCACATTCTTTTCTTTTCTTTTTTGTTACTTATGAGACTATGAGGTAACGTGTATAGTAATATTTTTATATATAAGAGGAAGACTGGTTTATTTCCTGTCCTGAAATTTCTAAGTGAGTGATGCTGGGAATAACAACGGATGTGCAATGCTCCTCTGAAGTGGTATAAGCCCCACCTCAACATACATACTTCTTTTACATACTTCACTCTAATGCGTTCTTGTTTTCTATCACCTATGATTCCATTCCCCCATCCACCCCAACAAAACAATCACTTGGCAAACAACTGACCTTTCACAGACTTTCCATTGGCAGTTCGATTATTTATTTTAAGGTCTCCAATGTAATGGAATTGAACTCAGGGTTTGGAAGTAAATGTTCTAAATGATGAGTTTGAATTTTAATTCTATCATTGTATGTACTTGGTGAAGCGTGGTTAGAGGTTGTTGGAATTCTTTTTTCCTTGCTTAAAATGGACATCGACATAGCAGTCTTAACAAGGATATGAAAATAAAAGAGGCCAGAGTGTCTACCATATGGCAACACAAGTGAAGGACGGTTACTGTTAGGAAGCTGAACACAGGCCTAGCGCAGTTCTGGGTCCTGTCCTAGGGGTTCCTGTCACTGTTGTGATGGATGTTGTGTCTCTTAACTCGGTAGCCTGGCATTTGATTAAGGCAGAACATGAAGGATTTATTTTTATTGTTAACCAGGCATACCTCTAGACTTCGAAATCTATTTAAATTTATAATAGGTCATGCACATAATTAGTTTCATATTAATTGAAAAATTACCTCTAAAATGTTCTTTTCTGGAGTGTTTTGAATACAAGGCACAGGCACACATACACCCATATGGAATTGCGAAAAGTCATAGAAATGAAAAACCTATGGGAAAGATTATAACATGAAATTTTATTATATTATTAGGCTTTTCATGTTAGAGAGGACCAAAAATTAATCAGATTTACTTCCCAGATATAGAAAACTGGGATGCTCTTATGTCTTGCCGATTGCTGTCAAGTTCACTAATTCTCCGGATTCATTGGTTGGCAGAGAAAGCTGATAACTATTTCCACTGAAATTAGCAACACTTTTACATCACGGAATTCTCGCTGCATCATTTTCACATTTTTATCAGCATTTTGCCTACTCACTTAGAGCGTGATCATGACCTAAAATACTGATGGTCCATATATCTGAAGGAAGTAGGGGGATCATCGATCTTGTTGGAGCTAGACAGATGTAGAGAGAACTTTGAGGCAGAGCTTTGTGGAAACTGATGTTCTCCCACACTGAGACATGCAATGACAACAGAATAGTTGGGTCATGTAGATGTACCCAAAGAGGATTGGTATCTTAACGTTATAGACTATGTTAAGTAAAGGCTTTCCAGTAAAATGAAAGCATGCGAAGGTACTCCTTGTCCTGTGTGAGTTTGATAGAAGTGACTGCATAAAGATTTTAAGCATGTATTTATTTATTTTATGTGTGTGTGTGCGCGCGCGCACGCCTAAGTGTTTGTTTGTATGCCACATGCACACAGGAGTCCACAGGGGTCAATAGAGGGCATTGGCTCCCCTGGAACCAGAGTTACCCGTGGTTGTGAGCTACCATGCAGGTTCTGGCAAATGAAGCTGGGGTTTCTGCAAGAGCAGTAACTGCTCTTTACTCCTGAGCCCCTTTCTGCCTCCTCACAGAAGGATCTTAACCTGAAATTTAATATTCCTCTATTAGCACACACATAGATGGTCAGTATGAACTAAAAAGGAGGAGCTATGAGGGGAGAATGCTAGAGATTTTATATATATATATATATATATATATATATTCATTTATCTGTGCAAGATGTACATGTTTGAAGAGTAAATGTGAAATTTTTGTTACAAAATGAAAGTGATCTCAGATATTTTAGACTCAGCAAAATAGAAGGGCGTATTATGATCTTTCTCTAGTGAGAGCACCCTAAAGAACACTTGCAGGATATAAAGGAAACATGAATTCCAAAGTCCGTAAAATAAAATTCAACAGTTTTTTGATTTGGACTGTGTACTTTGGAACTTTGAGTCTATTTTGATGGGGGGAATGGTTGATTAAGCTTCTATTAGAAGAATATTGACCCAATTACCCAAGTTAAAATATAGGCTCTCTAAAGATACTGAGAGAAGCTAGTTGTTTAATTTTTGCCTCAAGGATTAAATGTAACCACTGGTGAAAACTATAATGATAGACTATCAATAGCATGTATATTAGTGTTAATATTTTCCTTTTTGGGCTTTTATTTTCTGAGCATTTCATACATTTGTATGATACGTTCTGATCAAATCTACCACACTGATTCTTCTCCTCCAGTTTTCCTTTACCACGCTCACCATTATCTGCTACCAACCTTGTTCGTTCTTTTTTGAAGCCCATCAGTTGAAACGCCAAGACGAGGCAGGAAATCATGAGGTCCCAACTGCTTTGTCCAAACACCATTGAATTTAATTCCTGAACTATATATAAAAATATTATTTTGGGTTAAGTAAACTATAGATAGGATATTGATTAATGAATATATACTAAAAATTGAACAAATAAACAACTAAAATAATAACCCAGATAACTCATAACCAGTTTATTAAAAAGTGGATTAATCTTTAGCTCACAAATATGACCTCAATAGAAACGTAGTAATTATTGGAGACTCCAAAACAAGAAATTTATCTTCATTAGAAAGAAAAAGTGTGTCGGTGTGTGTGGGTGTGTGTACATGCGTGCGCCTGCATGTGTGCACGTGTGCAAATGCATGCAAACTCATGTTTTCCAGACTCCAGGACCAGGGCTAAACACTGGAAACTGTTAGAGAGAGAATCTTTGGCTTTAAATATTGGGGAAAAAAAACTTTGAAATGATGAGTTCTTTGCCAGTCAAATGATGCTTTATGAAATAGTAAATTTCTCTATTGCTGTAGTCTAGACACAATTGGAACCACTGAAAGTAGAGAATTTTTAGAACATTGAAGTTTTGTTTGCGTGAACCTTGCAAATCTTTCTTCTTTCTGTGGTTATCCTCTTTTCCTCCCTCTCTTCTGTTTTCCTTCTTCCTTCCTTCCCTTTTCTTCCTCATTTTCTTTCCACTTCCCAGTTCTTTCATCGTTCTCTCCTCCCAACCTCCCCCTTTCTCTCCTGCCTGTCAAACTTGAAATTATGTTTTATATCCCTCCCTCTCTGTTAAATAGTGGAAACACAGAGTGAGCGCAGTGAACTTGTGAGATATGTATTGACAATGGCAAGGAGACTTTTTTAAAGTTAAGATAAAAATGAAAGCAAAGAACTCTGTGAATGTTGGGGAAGAAGGGAGAAGGACCTGTAAACACCACAGGAATTCTCAACTTCTTTGAGAAGACAGAGATTCATGGCAGGGGAGGGAAAGGGGGCAAGAGAAAAAATGCCTAAAATGATTGGAGAATTATTTAGAACAAAGAGACATTATAGGTTATGCCAGCATTTGTAGTCTGCGTCTGGTAAGAGCGAACTACTAGAAAAGAACATTGGGAAAAAAGGTGGGGTTGGCTTTGATCTTACAGAGTGAAATGCTGATAGCAGTGGTTTCATTGGGTATTCAAGATTCAAAGTATTCCTTTTAATAAAGGGGATACACAATTTTTAACCTTAAGTCAGCTTCATTTGACTATGGTTTTGCTTTAAATCTTAATCCTTCATCTCTGGAGTTGTCAGAGTAGTCATTTTTTTTATACTTTATTACTTTTTCATATGTTATGGAAATTTTTACATTTTATTCTGTTTTATTTTGGGACAGGTTATCAAGGATCCTCCCCCACCACCTTCTGCACCAAAGGAGGTAAGTGATTTCCTAATAAAGTAAAAAGCAGTTGCTTTATTTTCATTTGTAAATATCATTTTGAAATTATACCAACTCTATTTATATTATAGCTAAGTACTGTTTACTTTGTGAAAACCTACTGCTACTTTTTAATCTTATGATTTCTTTCATGGAGTAGAGGAATGAGCCCTTCAATGGTAGACTGGCTACAGGATCAAAAGTCCATAGAGATTAAATATATTTTATAAATAAAGATATATTAATAGTTCTGATGACACTTATCTAAAATTGTTGAAATATCCAAGCTGGCAGTTCAAAGATGCCATTACTTTCTTCAAAGTGATAATTTGCTATTTTATTACTCTGTCAGCTAGCATCATACTAGCAACATAAAGTAAGGAATATACTGGTAGTATGCATTCATTCTTAAAGCTTCTTTAATATAAATTTCACCCTTCAAGATTACATATATATTGACATATGAAGTAATTGTTGAAGTGTTACCATAAGTCGAACAATCTTTTTCATTTTGAATTGATGAACATACTTGGTTTAGATACACAATACTCACAGTTAAAATAAGCAACTTCTTTTGGCCTAGGTGGGATGTAGGAGAATTTGGTGAAGGGGAGGAGTCTGAATCTCTTGTAGAACTGCACTTGAAATTGATGTATGTCATTATAAATGCTTCCATATACTCTAAATATCATTTTTACATTCCCTCAAAACAATGGAATTATTTAAAATATCTCAGTGTGATGAAGCTCTGACCAAAGGACATTTTCAGAAACTGATTAAATCCACTTTTAAAAACTGTATCTCCATAGGAAGAGGAAGAAGAGCCTTTGCCCAACAAGAAATGGCCGACTGTGGACGCTTCCTATTATGGTGGTCGAGGAGTTGGAGGCATTAAAAGAATGGAGGTTGGTCCCCTAAAGAAATAGAGTGCTAATCTCAAATGTGTACTTATAGGGTTACTGAGCCACTGACACAGTGCTTCTTTTAATCTTGCCCGTCATTAGTCAGCCCTGGGTTTTCTCTGGGCACATTTGTTCTCTGTGGAGTACCCTAGCCATGTCAGAGCTGCAGAACAGCAGGCTCCATCAGTCAAAGGGCGCATTGAGGGGATTTCTGAACACTAAGGAAAAAAAAATAGGCTTGGGTTTCCCCACTGTTTTGGAAAAAAATTACCCCATGGAGCATCAACTTTAAGAATGCCAATCTCTCATAGTTGCAACAATGCTCTTCTTTGAAAAGGCCCAACAGTTACTTATTGTTTGACATATAATTTTTGAAATATTCAACAGGATATGACTTTATCACAAATATAGAAGAGGCACATTTTAAATTTTCAACAGTTTTTACTTAGTACTCACCAACTATTCTAATTAATAATACATATCATTTATTATGTTGAACTAATTTTTGTTAATCCACTAGTCTAAGGAAAAAAAGCAACATAAACTCATGAAAGGATCCTGGCTAAAAAGAAATGCGATTTTATGTATCAGTTAGATAAACCAACTTACAAAACCTGCACAGTGCTTGAGCTGCCGAGAGTCAATGAATTACAGAAGTTCTGAGGTCATCAGGGCTGGAGAACAAACCTTCAGAGCTGAAGTTAGATCAGGTCACAGTGGATACTTTCTTTTCTCTGGATTTTGTGAATCTCGTTGAATTTGAATATGTATTTAAACTGTCCTCTAGTGGAGTTTGCAGAAAGCCAGAGCAGAGCTTTTAATAACAGCTGCTATCACATCAGATCCACTATAATTCCTAATAACTTCACACGGGTGTTCCTGCCAATTTCTTGTGAAACAGACTTAAAAATTTTGAAATTGCTCCTTTATTATATGGACTCTGAATTTTCCCAATATGCTATAGAAATTATAAAACTCATTGTTGATAATGAAAGCCAAGTGGGATTGGAGGCATTCAGCTCTGAGGCTGTAGTTACCTATTGGTTCCCCATAATAAGAAAACTCTGGTAAGACTTTCTTTAGCAATTATTTTTGTGCTTTCTTCTTTCCACTTAGGGCATCTCACTGTGATCAACTTAAAACGTGAAAATTTACACAAACACATACACACACACACACACGTACACACTTTGAATTCTTTTGTAGAGTTGCATGAAACTTCTACAGGGTGTCTTCTAGTCTTAGTCCTTGAGATTAACTGAGGCTTGTGTTTGGCGAAGGTTGATGATAACCCAGAAGCTATTTCACAAAACGAAGACAACAAACTTATTAATCTTCTTAGGCCTCCATGACTGCAGGCCATGTGTGTAATCATCAAAGCCCGGGTATGGCATGCTGGATCAGAACTCCCGTTCAACCATCTTTCACCTTTTTTTTTTTTTAAATCTGAGAATGGTTCCAATGATATTTGAGTCTAATTATCATGACCTCCGCGGTTTTAACTGTGAAGGCGAAGGAGCTATTTGTGTTTAAACCTACCCTTTCTGAATGGATCTGAATTGTATCTACTTACTGCTCTACTCTGAATTACTTCTCTGAGTTGTAGCATCCATGAGTTTACTAAACTATTCATCTCTTTTGTTTTGTTTTGTTCCCTAAAATTGAGATGTGTCCACTGTAAGAAACGTGTACTGGTTCTAGAGTTTTAAATTCAGTTAGCTTTGTCTAAAGGCTTCATTCTAAGTGTTAACTTATCTAGGCCAAGACTGCGATCTGAAAAAAAAAAAGGTAATTCTTTCTCTCTCTCTTTTTTCTTTCTTCCTTTCAAACAAATTTAATGACCCCACAAAGAACATTCTAGCCACTGATCACATTGAAATATACAGATATACTTTAATGACTCAGCAGGGTCCACTTGAAATTGAAAACTATTCTAAAAATAGTTTTTAGAATAGTAAAAAGGTGTGTGTGTGTGTGTGTGTGTGTGTGTGTGTGTGTGTGTAAAACACTAAGTGGCTTTATCAAAAAGCTTGCATAGTTCTTTCCATGAAAAGTAACCATCTATCTTCCTGCTAAACATTCAGGTCAGGGACTTTAAACTTTTTCTTTCACTGAGATGATGCAATACTGTATTGTAGCACACCCTGGACTGGTCTTTGCTTCTCTCCATGTATGCTGCTTGTTTATCAGGGCGATGTCCTGAGATGCTCCCCCTGATCCTGTCTGGGTAAAGTCCATCTGCAGAGACCACTTCCTATTCATACATTGTCAGGATACAACTTGGCTCTTAATTTCTGTTTACTGAAAAATAAAGAAAACAATAACCCCAGTCCTCACGGTTTGAGTCAATATGAGCGGTTCCCAGAGAAGATAATTATCTAAAACTAGTGGGATTCGCTAATGGTCTGTGCTTTTTTCCCCCCTCAAACCAGAACCTTTTCCAATTCCTGCTTCTCAGTTAAGAATTTGCTTATCACATGGCTATATTCAGATGAGCAAAAGAACTAAAGACAGAAAGCTGTTTTGGAAAGTGAAAGGTTGTCAATGGAAATTCATACTTCCTGAATCAGTCAAATGTGAAAATTTTAAAAAGATTAATTTCTTATATGTGAGATAAATTTATACAATTCAGAATTGTGTAAACCTTATTCACTCATCTCTTTTTGCTTATGTCCAAATCCATACCCTGCCTGGATGCTCCTCTTGTGACTTTGGGAACATTTTTTTAACCTGTGCCGTAGTTCGGTCATCTGGAGGGGAAACACATAATAATATCACCTTCTTTGCATTTTTGTATGGATTGAATACACAGGAACACACTGAATAAATGCTACCATTATCATCTTATATATCTGAAAGTAGAATTGAACTGCACAGTCTTGCATTATCTATATATACCACAAATTATCTATTTGAAATGATGGAGAAATCATTACGCCAGATTTAAGTGACATCATATTTTACAAATGCTTATATTGTATTTGGGTCATAATGTTAATATAATAAAGAGTGTTGAGGAAGATCCCTGGACTGTCCTGCCCAGCCAGCTTATTCTAATGGACTGGCTCCCTGTCCCCGTGAGTGACCTTATCTCAGAACTCACGATGGAGGGCCCCAGAGGCATAACATCTGAAGCTGACCTCTGGCCTCCACACACATATGAACTCAAACACACATGAACATGCATACATACACACTCTCACATACACACAAGCCAATCATGAGTAGTTGGGAACCCATTAAAATTCAGAAGAAAAGGAACTGGAAGTCAATATACCCATTCATCTTCTTATACTGGCCTGGGGGCCTCCTTGGTGCTTGCTCCTCTGGGGCCTTCTGTCTGACAGCGGTGTCTCCTTCATCTTCAAGGTCCGCTGGGGTGATAAAGGATCGACTGAGGAAGGTGCAAGGTTAGAGAAGGCGAAAAATGCCGTGGTGATGATCCCCGAAGAAGAGATACCCGTCCCACCAAGACCGCCTCGGCCCAAATCCACACACCAGGCCCCTCAGACAAAATGGTACACGCCAATTAAGGTACGTGCCTGCATCTTGGGTGACATAACTTAAACCTAACAGGGACGTAGCTTTTACTGTCTCACCTGTCCCACGAGGAAGACCAAGGCAGATCCAATAACAGATACTCATTTTCGGCTCTAGCATATACTTTCTTAGCATAAGAGCTTCCAGGTTTTTGTATAGACTAACTTGCTATATTGATTAATGAAACGAATCTACCCAATTTCACAAATCTAATATCTCTTTAGGGTCGTCTGGATGCACTCTGGGCTTTGATCATGAAGCAATATGACCGAGTGTCCTTGATGAGACCCCAGGAAGGAGATGAGGTTTGTGTGTGGGGACTTTTGATGGGGAGTGCACAGATGATGAAAGGAGGGAAAAATTAATGAAAATAATTTAAAACTTCCTGTTGCCATGCAGGATGGAATTGATACTGACCAGTGCATATTCTTGTTACATGGGGTGGCTGTTAAATTTTGTTTCTACAACGCATTTGCAAGCCACTTGCATAGCAGTGCCTTTCCAGATAATGAATTAACACCATAAGCATGCCCGCTGACTTTGAAGACAAGTGTTCTGAGTTTCTTTGTTTGGGAAGAAAGAGACTGGGAATTAGCGTCTGAAGTCTTTTTTCTCACATTTAGTAGCATTGAGATCTAGGGAAAATAACCTCAGAACCGCTGTCTTCAGTACAAACATGTCACCCGCCTTCAGTCATTGTCACAGTCTAGTCTCTGAAATATGTCAAGGCGTCCTTAAAGCCTGAAGCCCCGAAGAAGTCTGAGGTGGTGATATTTAGGTCCACATACTTACAGATGTGTTGTATTTATGCGTTTTCCTTACCAAGGGAGTCCATTTAAAGCTCTTACTTTAAAAATATGTTTAGAATTATTGTTTTTACTATCTTTTCTAATAATCTGCTCCATTTCCTCATGTACCAATTTTGGAGAAACTGTTCAAAGTCTCCTCAAATTCAGCAGCGGTGGGTTTGGTTGAGAGACGCGGTGCTGTTCAGGCTGCTAGGCTGCTTTCATGATGTAAGCATGGCCCTTCCTCTCCTCTGAAGGAGTAAACACCATGCGCATCTGCCTCAGAGGACTTTGGCTTCACTTAGGGCTGGCACGCTACTCTTTGAAACTATGAAGCAATCAGTCAAATTAGTATTTATGTTGTGAAGTCCAGATAAAGTGTATTTAGTATTAGGTGGTTTTAGCATGATGTTTTAAGAGTTTAGAAGAATTTCAAATTTAAAATTTTACGTCTAGCACTTAGGAACATTTCAGGAATATCTGAGTTCAGACACGTAGGATAGACAACTTGAGAAATATTGTTGAACTTCCTAACGTGATGTCAGTGCTGTCTGATAGGACCACTGGCAGAGAGAGCTGTGTTCTCAGAAGCAGACTCTTCTATTACCAGGCGCTGGCAGATTCTCCGTAGAAACTTCCTTTCGGTGGAAATTTGTGTCTTGTTTAAATTCAGATGTGGGCTCGAGTTCTGTTTCTGGAGCTCTGTGTAACTCTTCTTCCTCTTGAACACTCTCGACTTTACACTGCGTTTTGCTTACCATTATTTTCAGGCCTTATCTGAGTGTGCTCTTCACCAGGTTAGATATTCATCTGTTTAATAAGTTCTGTCTTATTAAGGATTAATATTGAGTGAATAGTGAGACATTGATGGGGCGGGAGATTCCAGTTTTCTTCCTAAAATCTCATATGCTGTTTAAAATATTGTGAAGAAGTTTGGGTATTTGCAAGATTTATTCCCCTAAAATTCACCAATACTTGGTTAAACCGGATTAACCATTAAACTCTAAATTATGAATATATGAATATGAACTGTATTTATGTGTACAAGATCTCCATTTACATCCAATTATCAGCTTGCTCTAAGATCTACTTTCCAGTGAAGTGTTGCATTAAATATTAGAAAGTCTGTTAAATAGTGTGTTGTCAGAACAGAGAAGCATGTTAAATTCCTATTGAAATAGTTTGACTATAATATCAAGTAACTCGTTGAAATAAATGTTATTTGATATTAAGGTCAATTCCTCTAAAAATTTTTGAAATTTGTCAACATGTAAATTAGTTTCATTAGTAATTTGATTTTCCTGTGTCTCCTGTGGCCATCACATTTTTTTTTGGTATGCATTCATATATGCAGACAGAACATTTACTTTGCTTTGTGCTCTTTATGAAGTGTTCGTGTTGGTACAGAAGTGTCAGAGTGTGATTGTATGTAAAATAACTTGCTCATTTTAGGTATTATGAAGACTCTGAAACGCCAGATTTTTAGATGGGGGTGTTCGTTTACATTGTCAGGGCATAAATAACGCCCCCCCCCCCCCCGGGTCTGGATACCAGACAGTCACATCCTCTGAAGGTGGAGGAGGAGGCTGACTTTAAGCCGCAGACAGCTAATAAAGCACAATTGTTCGCAGGGCCTGACTAATGGCTCCAAGCAACACAACCCCTGCCTACCCAGCAGCTTGTTTTGTGCTTTGGAAAACAGCCTTGTCATTTATGTAGGAACAGTTTCCCGCAGATTCTGCCTCCCGAGAGCTCAGTCTAATAAACAAACCCGCGACCACAGAACTGAAGTTGCCAGTGAGTCCCGCAGGTGGGGCAGCGAGCCCTTCCTGGCGCATTTGGAGCCGAAGCTGTGCTGGGGCGCAGAGGCCGCGGGGCTGCCGGGCTGAGCTCTGAGCGCCCTGAAGTCCTTGATGCGGAGGCTCAAGTCGGTGCGAGCCTTATCAAAGCGGCCGCGGGGGCGGGCGGGCTCCCAGAGCTCGGCTGCGGGCGAGCGCGGGCTTTGATGCGGGCGGCAGGTCCTAGGAGTCGCGGGTTTGGCGGCCAGGTGCGCGCTAGCAGGTTGTCCCGACATCTGCTGGCGGCCGCGGCGGCCCGATTGTCAGCCGAGGTAGTTGAGAGCGGCAGGACCGTTTTGGTCTTGTGCACGCTGCCTGGAGGCCTGAAACTCCAAAGGTAGGAGCCGGGTGGACACAGCTGCGCTCCCAAACTTGCCGGAGGCACAAATAGGAGATCTAATGCAGTTTGACTCCACGGCGGTGGGGGGACAGGACAGAGAGCCACTTCAGAGACAACTTACCGCTGCAACATCTGCCGCCAAGTTTCCAGGGAGTGACAGGGGACAGCAGGTACAGATCGAAGTCTCTGCACAAACAACCTCCATTACGCCCTGGACTCTTTTGAAGGGTCTCCATCAAACAGGCCCGAGTCCGCAGCAGGAGTTTGTTTGGTTTTTCAAAGCAGTGTTTTGTGTGTGTGTGTGTGTGTGTGTGTGTGTATTTTCCCCTCAATAACAAGGTAATTTATAAATGATGCATTACCATGCGTCCTCCTTTTTTTTCTATGACAAGAGAGTTGAGAAGCGGAAAGGCAAAGAAAGAAGAAAGCACAGGACTAGTTTGGAGTTGTTCCACAAACCAATTAAATCCCCGAGGACCTCCTTGACAGTGTTCGAGGTTATGTTAACCTTCAAATGGCTCCTCGTCCGCCAGTGAGCAGACAACAACTTACACATCCTACAGAAGAATCTCAGAACACACCTGAAATGCATGGACTTCTGCTAACTGCAATTCCATGTTCAGAACTCAAAGTTTTATCTCTCCAGATGGGAAATTTAAGGTTCTTTTTTTCAAATGAATGTGGAGGTTTTTTGTTTTTGTTTTTTTGTTTTTCCATTCAGTAAAACAAAAACCTAGGAAATTGAATTCACTTCAGTTTGTTTCTTATTTAAGGACTCCATACCTGTAGTGCCCCAAAACAAACAGACATTTTTTTTTTCTCTTGGAAAGAGAAAACCCCCTTTTTAGCAGGAAGAAATTTCATCAATTTGACTTTTACCAAAAATGTTGCAGAGTCATGATCATGCACAGGTGTATAAATGGGATGGGTTAAAATACCGGCCTGGCGAGAAGGAATTCCGTGCTATGGCAAGAGAATAAAGCCTGCCGTCGTCTGAATTATGCCACCATCTAGTAAACTGGCTGCATGATCACCTGCTTGAGATGGTGAGAGCTGTCTGTGCAAATGTGTGCTTTGGAGCAAAGGATTAGCCATGGAGCAGGGCCTGGGAATAGAAGCTGGAACAGGTAAGGTCACTTCGGATAGTAGAGACGGAAGCCGCACAGGTACAAGAGGCATTTTAGGCGAAGCCAGACCTAGTAAGTGGAGAACACTTATGAACTGTTCTGATGTGCTTTGCGTTCTATAAAATGACTGCTGTCCCTTCTGACAGAACATCAGTCCTCCAGTTTTTTAAAAGTTCATAGCAAAACAAGACAAAAGGCATCAAGATCATAAAGAGCGTAAACTCGTTTCGAAGGTGCCGAAGAGCTTTGTAACTGCAGAGGCCAATTAGGGAAGCCCATCTTCAGTTTATATCCTGCCTGTCCACGCCCCTGTTAGCCCTGCTTCTGAATTCCCATGCTCAAACAAGCAGGCCTGACCCTTCTTGCATCACAGCTTCTTCAGTGACTCCAGCGTTCTGATGGAGCACTATGAGCTGCCTGGTCTTCGTGAATCGTGTGATACTGGATGCTGTTCAGCCGCTCCATCCTCAAACTGACCACCGCCTCCGCATCAGGGCTTCCCACCCCCTGCTTTGGTTGTCTGCCATGTTCGCAGTGTGAACTCTTGTGGATTTTCGCGAGGATGTTGATCTCTTAATCAAACAGTTCTATATCTTGAATCTTTTTGGTGCCTGGATGTACACTGTTAATGACTACAACTAACTTACAGCTTACAACCCGTGAGTGGCACACATCTGAATGATAAAATTCCCATGAGAACAACCCATGGCAGGAACACGCCATTGTTATGGCACCCCCACTGACTGCTACAGAGGTGCAGGTCTGTATAGACAGGCATTCATTTGCACTGCGGTTGTATAGATGTATCCAGTAGTACAGAACACATTTACTTTTTATGAAAGTCATCATCTTGCACTGGAGATTAGCATTCATCGAGAGTGCTCTTTCAGTTCTATTTCTTAGCTTAACTAAAACCACTTCTTAATTGTGTAATATACAGGTGTGTGTTAATTCATTCTGGTTTCTTGAAGTGAGATGCAAGATACATAAAATTCAATTGCTTAAATTACAAAACTAGATGAATATTTTTTCTCTTCAGACCTTTTCTTTTTTATTTTTATTATTATTTTTTAGGACAATCTTTTTTTCTTTTTACATATCAATCCCAGTTTCCACCCCTCCCCTCCTCTTGCTCTTCCCACCTTCCCCTCATCCCAACCCCCATCCACTCCTCAGTCTTCCCATGGGGAGTCAACAAAGATGAATTTTAAA